ATTTATGTTAAATTTTTCTTGTGACATTCAAAACCCCAAACTTGTACCTATGTGATACATTAACCCTCTATTAATCTTTCGTTAGATAATTCTCATCCAAAATAATGTCGTTTTTATTTCACTTAAGTCACGTGAGCAGAATGTCAACACTATTTGCTTTTTAGAGTCAATGTAGACAGGTTTTTAACGGTTCTGATTGACTGGACTTTGATGAATGGTAAATGTATTATACAGGTGAGAGTTTAAGATTTTTTGTTGTCACAGTGAACATATTTTAAGATTTTTAATGATTTTTATCGAAAGTGAAAGTAAATGTCACGTCAAACAGTCAATCACCAAGACAACTGTAAATGGGAATACATGCCAAAGACGATGAGCACTTTTCTTGTTGGAGCAGCTCTCACGCTTGTCGCGTCCATCTGTTTTTCCATTTATTGAGAAAAGCGATGTTGAAGGGACATCTGTACAACGCATATAAAGTATGAAATCATAACATTTGAGTGACACAACACCGAGCACTCCCATTTTCTTCTAGGCCACTTTTTGGGTAAAGGGCAATAAATTTCGAAAAAAAATTGAATTACAATCATCTATTGATATATCCGGAATGACTTTTTTAATTTTTTCATCCTTTACTTTTATGTATTTTTATTGGAAATATCTGAGGTTTTCACAATTTACAAATGTCGACACGTTTGTTGACATATAATTATTTAACATCTAATTAAGATTCTAAATTTTGGTGGAAAAGAAAAATGTATCATATGCTTCTAAAAAGTCTAAACAAACGTGCACGGAGTTTCTTATATTGTACCATCCATTACGATTTTTCCACCAGCACAAAGTGCTTAATGTGGAATTAGTGCGTTAGAGTTGAAATTATTAATCATCAAATCACGCTTAATAATTAGTGGGTTGACGAGAAGAGTTGCAATACTTAGGGTATGTTTATTTGACTGAAAACTTCACAATAAAGAAAAATATTTTTCATGAAAATTAGTTTCAAGGAAAACGGTTAATTTTTATTTGTTTGGTGGTTTAGGGAAAATATTTTCCTTCTTGCTAGAAGGGGAAATCGTTTTGTTTTTCCATAATCTAAGTTTGTTATTTTCAGTTTATGGAAAACTTTTTCCTTAGATTGATTAATTTTAACTTTCCCGTCATCGAAACACCGGGATGTCAGAAAACAATTTCTTAAAAATAGTTTTTCTTCAAACAAAGATAGCCTCATATTGGATCGAATTCCAATCAATGTAAATTAACATCTCAAACAAATGTTTTTTTTTTCCTTTTCTTTTATGGGTAACCAATTGTTTTTCCTTGATTAATATATCATGCATAGGGCAAGAAAAGAGCGAGCTTTTGTTAAGAAAATTGGTCCATTTTGCTTCTTTCCCTAGTGGATATGTGGAAAATGGCTCAAAAAATATAAAATGCAAATTACATCGCTCTTTAGTAAATTAAACTTTCAAAAAAATCGGTGGTGCCCCTCAACTTTCAAACGGAAACGATCTTAATTCTCATTCCGATTCATTTCGATTGATCAAATGGTGCCGGGAAAGAGAATGGGCCATAAATCAAGATCTTGTACTATCAATCATTTCAGGGAAAAAAACCAGAAAGGAATTGGGACAACTTTGCGAAAAACAAACCAAACCAAGAGAAAAGACAACGTAGTTGCAGGACAATCATGATAATCATAGTGCTAGGTAATTTACCATTCGGGCGTGATAGTCCAGTGATAAATGGGTCACACTAGCTTCTGCAAGATTACAGATTCGAGCCAGATTCTAGCAAAATTGTGTCTCAGGCAATTTCATGTCAGTTGAATATGAGTAGTAGCAGAGGCTTGTTTTTTTTTTTCATGAATGCTACATTCTTCTTTCTGTTGTGCTTTCAACTTTATTGCAAAAGGACATGGACAAACTACACACCATCTCGTGAAAGATCTCATGAGTGGATTCTCTGATGCTTGGCCCTGCCTTTGTCATTATTCTTCTATTTTCATAACCCTTTTTGGCTTAATTAGGGCCATGCTAAACATGCAGATATTTGCACTCCATTAGGCTAATCAGCCTTGTGGTCTACCGAGGTCCAAGATTATCGGATGTTGAATTACAATTAAATTGATCCGAACCCTTTATTAAGGGTGCGTTTATTTCGCCGAAAACTTCATGATAAACGAAATATTTTCCATGAAAATCATTTTCAAGAAAAGCTATGGTAGTTAGTTTTTTATTGTATGGTTGTTTAGGAAAAGTGTTTTCCTTCTTGCCAGAAGGATACTATTTTCAGTCTAAGGAATATATTTTTCTTAGATCGATTAATTTTCCGCCTTCCAAACATCGAAAAGTCAGAAAATAATTTCCCGAAAATAGTTTGCCTTCAAACAAACATACCCTAAAATCTCTTTTCTTTCGGTATAGTAATGTGCTACGACATTATATAGAGAAATTTTGATGACACGTAATTGAGTATGACGCCTCATGGTAGGAGAATGGTCTCTCGAGCAACCACAATAGTCCCCCGAGTCAAATGGTTCTGATTCCGATCGCGAACGTTTCTTTTTCCAAAATTAAAACGGGTTCATGTGTTTATGTTATTTGGACGAACTAAATGCGATTTCACCGGACCAAGTACGAACACTTTCGTTTGTGTAAAACCCATCCCGTTCGGAGTTCAGCTAGTGTCTAATTTCTTCTTATTGATTAATCATCTAAACAGAAACTTTCAGCATAACAGTTTTCAGCCCAAAAAATAAGAGATTGTTCTGTATTGTTTCAAAAGATGCAGCATTGATTTGGATATATTCATGATTTCGCTTTGCACGCAACAGCTGGAAAGCAAGAGCAAACATGAAGATCGTCTCCCCCACGTTTTGTCTCCATTGCATAATTTTAGCAAGTACTACAAAGAGTGAAGTTACAGAACAGCGGTACTCAAGAGTGGATGATAACCCTTCTTTTTTAGGAAAAAGACAAAAACAAATATGAACATAAAAATAGAAATAAAAGTAAGAATGCATATGCAATCATTTCCCATATGCATTGTGCATTTCAAAAGGGAAAATGGCACAGTGGTCCATGAATATTGACTCAATGTACAATGTCGTTCTTGAATTCTTAATTGGTTCAATGTGGACTGTAAACTTTTGGTACATCGGATTATATGAAAATGTTCGATGTTATTCTTCGATTAATTCAAGTTAATGGAATTGCTGATTTGGCTTCTAATCCGATACGTTTGAACATTGGACAAAAATAAAGTTGCATGTGGATTATCCACGTAAGATATCCAACTCAAATTAGAATATAATAATCATTTTAATTTAGCTAAATTGTTCAACATAAAGAAATGGCTATCCATGTTATTTGATGACGTGGATTATTATATCCTGACTTGAGTTGAATATCATATGTAGATAATCTACTGGTAATGTTATCTTTTTGTTTACTATTTAAACTTACCGGATTGGAAGCAAAATCAGTAAATTCCGTTAAGTTGAATTAATGAGAGAATAACGTTGTATATTTTCATATAATCTAGGGACTAGATTAAACATTTACCAAAATTTCAGATACCACATTGAACAAATTAAAAGTTCAAGGATAACATTACATATTCCGCTAAAAGTTCAAGGACCACGTTAAACAAATTAAAAATCTAGGGATGACTTTGTACAGTGAATCAACGTTGAGGGATCATATGTATTATTCGCATGAACTTAGGTCATTTTTCATTCCTCTGCGACGCAGCTTTGGAGCAATTGTTACAGTGTTTTTTAGTATCTGCAGCGTTAATTAAGCTGACAAATATCAGATTTACCTCCTCGGCCATAAAAAGAAATATTTATTTCCACAATTATGCCTTGTAACATCTATTCGCATAAAGATTTCAACATTCCGAGGTTGATGTAACCCACAACACGGTGAACGTATATAGTCGAGTGATTTTGGCTGCTCTATAGACTAGAGGCAATTGATTCCAAAGTGGATTGGGAACCAATTCTACCTTAAGTTCCAAAAAATTGGAACTGGAAACTGAATCGGCCGGTTCTTGATTCTACTCGGGAACCGGCCATTTTATGATTTGGATAAAACACCAAATTCTTATAATAAAATCTAAAAATTGAAACATTCAACTACAAAACATTTGTTGGTCTAGCGGTTATGTTGTTTTTTCACGTTGTTGACCGCGGTTTAATTCTTGATGGGAGCAAAACTGATTTAGAACCGGTTCAACGCCGGTTGAAACCTGCGTTTGTGGCCTTGGAACTAAGAACCAAACCGATCCTAGGCTGATCTAAGCCGTAGAACCGGGAACCAAAGCGATCCATCCAAACCGATTCAGTCCAGTTCCAAGTTGAACCAAACCTGGGGCTCATCCTTAAAAGTGCATACTTGTGTGAATTTTACTGTAATCAAACATTTCGGTCCATTAGCATCGCTCGCTTTTACATCATTAATAATCTCCAATTCTTTCAATCATCCTCAGGGAGAGAAGGAAAAGCCTAATTGCATAATCTATCGGAAAAACCGACACCGCACATCCTTAGGATGGAGAAAATGGCAGTATCAATCTTCTCAGGCAAAGCTGGCACAATACATGCAGCATGGGAGTGGCGACTTCTCGAGGCCTCACGATGCGCTGTCACGGTCCCAAAGTCATGCTGTCACTCCATCGGATCATCTCGATGAGCAAAATCAAAAACCATATGACACACTTCTTTCTGGTCAGTCGCTAAATCCCTCGTCCAAAGTCGCATTATTTTGGTAAAAGCATAGAGTTGATCTCGCTATAAGAGATAAATGTATCATGATTCTCAAACCATAGTTCCATCTCTTGGACTGATGCCATGGATCATGGTGATGAATTGTGGCATTATCGGGTAACCATTAGTTGAGGGATAATTACACGTTAATCAATCATGTGAAGTATGTTTCTTAATTAACTATAGAAACAGAGACAGTTATCCACTCATAGAAAGCAATAGCAGCATTAGATTAATCTTCTGATCTTTTTATCATTTCAAAGCCAAATAACAGTTCCTCCTTACACATCTGCAACAAAACCACGTACTTCCTATCGAGTCGTATTATATAAGCGTTACTGCTCATAGACATCAATCCCTTGAAAGTGTCCTCTCTCGGTACAAAAGCTTATTTAGAAACACCCGAATAATATGATGCACAACATAACACAGCTACCATCCGCACTGATTCTAACCTATGAGTTAAGGAGCGGTAGTGCATGGATTAGCCACCTTCATCATTGCCACTGTTTACTGCAAGAAATCTCTGGGATCAGTAACATAACCGGTCAAAGCAGACGCAGCTGCAGTGAACGGGGAGGCTAGATAAATCTGGCCTTCCTTGTGGCCCATACGCCCAGGGAAGTTCCTGTTAGTTGTTGATACACAGACCTGCATTGCAACATATGCGACAAGTGCAGTTAGTATTTCTGATGTAACACAACAGCAATGATAACTTGCAAATACAGAAATCAAATTAAAGACTACAGAAAGTGAAATTAACTGAACCGATAAAATACTATCATTAGGATTTGAAAGTTATTTTAGCAAATAAATTAGAGGTTGATACCAGCAAGATCCATTAAAATATACTATTTCTAGAATATCAATCCCAACCAATACATGCTTAGGGACCACTAAACAGACAAAAACTAGCCACTAACTGAAAGATTTGAGAATTTTTATTAATATTTTGTCAGCATTGGCTTCTAAGAACAAAAGGCAAAGTAGCTCATTAAGTCATAGTTACATATTGCAAGACGAAGAAAAGGAAATAAACAAATAACTAAATCTTGCCTTGGGTTCATTCATACGAGCATAAGTGTCTCTAGGGCCACCTAAACAAGCACCACAGCTAGGACTTGCAGGCGTGTCACAACCTGCCTCTTCAAATATCTGGGAGCAAGTTTTGCCACCAGATCCGGGTACTGGGAGGGTATATACGTCCATCCACACCTATGATATGTAATATCATATATCAATTATGTCCACCCATGCAAATTCCAAATTATAACTTCCAAAAGAAAAGTTAATTTGAAGCTAAACAAGCTACTAAGTGTCAAAAACCTTCTGTGTAGCAGGAACGACGAATGTGGGAACTTTAACCTTCTTTCCCTGTGGAAAAACAACTTAGAGTAAATACAACAGTTGTCGGATGCATAGGTATATAGGAAGATGAATACAAAGGGCATGGTTATTTTTATTATGATACAATACAAATAAATTTACTCTCTAGCAAGACAGGATGAAACTTAACTACCAGAACTCTAATCAATTTGCACAACTTACCATTCGATAACAAGCATAATTTCAGGAGATATTCCTCAGAGAAGTAACTTTTATCTAAAGTGAAATTTCGTTGATAAAACACCAACTTACCCAATATCTCTTACACATACTTGTTTAGAACTATCTTGAAGGATTGTAAATTAGCAAGATGTATACTCTGATCCAAGGGTCGCACTAATCACACTTGTGATATGTCCTAACCTTAATTTATTACTAAATGCAGCGAATAAAAACACGACAGATAGAGTCAGCCAAATCCGCCTTCAAAAGCTGAAGGTGCTGCAATGGCAGTACACAAGTGATAATAAAAGTCACAACACATTAACAGTAACTAAAATCTTCAACTCTGGGAGGAAAAAGATTTGTTCAATGCTAATCAACATTGTACTTTACAGATTTATGCACAATCAAGCATGTCTGCCCATGCTACTCATGGCATCTTTTATATAGTTCGTTACTAAGGACAGCCAGATGTTGAAAACTTAATAAGAACTTTTATTGTGATCAAATTGCTAATGTCTCATTTTCCTTTTTTCTCCAGAAACCTTCACTTAATTCCATTGTTTGAGGGTCATTTCGCTTTACATCCATAAAGGAACAACAATGTAGAAAAGCAAAAAACCGGATAGGAAGCCAAACTTATTCAATATGAACACTAAAAATTCACTAAAAAGTAAAACAATTTATGCATTCTTTGATTGATTCAAAGTTAAATCCATCATATAACAAAAGATTCTTGCAACCTATTTTGAGTACAGCATACTTGTAGCTTCTATTCTAGCATTTTCTTCTTCTGTCTAAGTAAGCATCAAGGTTTTCATTTAGCCATCTAGAAAAAGTTGTTACAGAAATATCTTTGCCACATTTCCATGTTTCAATGGTATTAAGCATGGATAATGATAAAGGAACATAATTGACAAAAACCCAGTTAAACATAATCATTAATCAAAATGGTTTGGCAAAACCAGTAACAGTCTGATGGATAACTTTTCTTTATTGATGAGACAGGTGCATAATCAGTAAACCCAATGTATTAACAGGAATTGAGCTATAGGTATCAACCATTTATCATAAACATCTCTTTAACATTTCCTTCGAACAAGACTCCTTTCACAATGTGACTATATGGCCTCATTTCTTCGTAGGTAACCATGATTCACGAGTTTCATACTAAAGTAAGAGCATGCCTGAATAGACTTTTGCTTTTAGCATTTTGCTTTTTGCTTTTGCTTAATCTAAATCTTGTGACGCATGAATTTCAATTTTAATCCTAAAACACTTGAAACTTTCACAATACACAAATGTTGACAAATAGATTCACGTATACTTTTTGCATAATAATTTGGATTCTGGATAATATTTAAATCTTGGGGGAAAAGCAGAAATGTATTTTGTAACTTAGACTTAATTTTAAACAAACAAGCCCTAAAATTGCATAAACTTGTGATGTCTTACGAGCAACCTTTAAATTAAATAAAAGAAGTGTTTATCTTACTGAAGCCAGAAAAACTTTTGCTGCAGCTAGGAAATCCTCAGTTTTACCCCCAGTACAAGATCCAATGTATACTCTGTCTATCTTCACATCTTTGCATTCTCTGGCTAAGGCACGCTTATCTGGAGAATGAGGCTGCATAAAACAGAGCTTTCTTTACTTCTTTTTTCTGAATAAATAATGAACGATTTCATTACAAAAGAAGATTCTTGCACATAAAAAATGTACTGCGAAAAAATGAACCTTAGAGCTTGCATTTTATAAACCCACGAAATGAAAATATAGGACACAAACTGAATACTGTTTACTTGAACAAATACACTGATATATAACATTTGAATACTGAATTTTCAAGAAAAAAATGTAACACCCACCTTTGCAACCAAGGGCTCCAACTTTGAGACGTCAAAACGGTACTCAGAGAGAAATCTTCAAGACAGCAAATCCAGCTAGTCAATAACTATTGGAGCATAAGAAACAAAAACAAGGACAAGACTAGAAATCATAGAATGTTTGAACAGCATTCTATTTGGTACTCTGTGAAAGAGTCGGCATCATGAGTAATCAACACATGCTAGTAGGACACAAGATGTCGCATGAAAAACAGCTCACTGTCCAATGTTCTATTGATATAGTCTTTAAATGCACTATAATTCGAGTTTTGTACCAGTACAAGTTAAATCTACTGATCTTAAGGGGCATTATGCATGAATGAATTTTTCTCAAGTTCTATCATCTATCTAAATAGGTAAAGTGCATTCAACGAGGAAGGACAACCCATTTATGGAGTAAACAACTACAAGTACAAATCGTTTGAAAGAGAGGCTACCAATGATTCATAGCAGTCCTCATCTACTAAGCCAGAGATACAGATATGCTATGGGTCGTAGCACACGAATGGGAATACCATTTGTCATGAATTCAATTGTCAGTTTAGTGGGTTTGCTAATTAGAGCTGTGGTGCACTTAGAAGGATTTTGTTGAATCATTCTCTACATATCTTTTCAGCTGTCCTTTTTTCTGGAATTACGTTTAAAGTGCAAATTTAAAGGAGCGGAACTTATGATCACCAATAACTCTTTCCAATTGCTGGAAGAAAATTCTGAAGCTTAGAGATGACACCAAGCACTTGCTGAGATGTAGGGCGTGTGATGACAATTCTATATTCCATGTTTGAAGTCATGGCACCCTTTCAGTCCCATTATTTGACAGGTTTTCTCATAGAATCATTTATGATTCTCTTCTCCTCTAGATAGTAAAGTTTCTTGTAATGGATGGAAATGGCCTCCTGAGAGGTGTGATTGTCTTGTGCAAATCCAAGCCGTTTTATGTGGTGTCCTATTTTCTAATGTTCAACAGCATGACAAACCTATTTCAATGCCCAATTCTGATGGCAACTGTTACCAGGGCCTGGAATGCTATTTGAGTTAAGAGGATCTCACGAGGTGGGGCATTAGGTTGTTCATATACCAAGGCAGTGCTTCCTAGCTTGGTTAGTGATTCTAACGAGTTGGCTACTGGTGATCGACTTGCTGAATGGAACATTCTGAGTCCAATTACTTGCTAGTTGTCTTGGTGAAGCCGTTCGGCTTTGTGATAAGAACAAAGGAATTATTGTTCGAGTTTTCTGCACTTATTTGGCAGAAGTTGTGGAAATTAATCAAACTCCTTGTGCTTGGTCATTGGAATTTGGTTGGGTTCTAGCGCAGACTAAAGGGAAATCCTTTACCTCCATACTTTTGAAATTGTGTTGGTGTTCTGCACTTTGTTGTCAACAGAGTTGTTAAACCAAATGTTAAAAATTTTAGGTTGTTAATAAGTTCTTGTAAGCTGTTAGATCTAAGGCTTCGATTGCCATAAACAGCTTTGTGACAATTGTGGTACCTGTAGGTGAATATTTGGGGCTATAGGTATTTTCTTATGTATAAAATGGCTTACAAGCAGGCTTGGTCCACCTGCAGGAGATTTGATGTAAAATAGAAAATTTTTATGATCTTTAGGAACACAGCTGACAGCAACACCCTTAATCGAGCGAGTCGACTCAAACTAAACTAATGAATCAACTTTGGAAGAAATCAAAACATGTATGCAAGTAATTTTCCATAATTCCAAAAACGTAAATCAGCACATACAATCTTTATTCTAGAATGAGTCAGCAGCATAGCTTAGTTTCATTAAAGAAATCTTTTTTATGAGGAACTGGATATTTCCGATTCTTTTTCCATTCGACACGAAGTACATCTACACCTAGATGTCCTTTTGTGCAGTTTCTTCTTCAGTTCAACCAAAATTCAAAGGGGCATACAAAAATACCCATACTTCCTAGTCCAAACACAGTTGCAAAAAACGAAAGACAGACGTGGTCATGCATAATATCATACCCAGACTTCCTAGTCAATCTACAAAATTGATATTTAATGCCCAATAAATATCCATCTGCGTGGTCTTTAATAATTTTATCATATCTGCTCTGGTGCAGAAGGCCACAGTATAGGGCAAACAGTATCGGATGCTCCAATGCATAATGTGTAAACATCTGCTTTTCTGTGCAAAAAGGCTAGCTAATTCCTCCGGCATATATTCTATTTACAGATCAAGATATTTGCTCACAACCAGCACATCAAAAGATTCTATCCACCATGTTGCACAAGTTACAGTATCTCTCCAACTTATAAATGGTTACATACAATGCACACATAATAATTTTGATGAGGCTGAGTATGGCAGGTGACATGAGAAGTATTCTTAATTATCCTACTTTATTAAAACATATTCCAGAAAAATGCACATCAAACAGTTTTCACTTGAATTAACACGGCACATTAAACTTCCAAGGCAAGCAGATACAACTCCTTTAGCAGAAGCCAGTAGTTGTGCAGACTGGATTGCGACATAAATGACAAATGAAATTAATCGAGATAATTACCTGGCTTTCTCGTCACTGTAAACCGGTTCATAGGGCTTTGATGTCTTATCCTGTGCAAAAAGGTGTCAGAAAAGTGAGTTCCTAAAGAGCTAATAAAAGAATAGGCCAATGACTCATAAGAGAAGGTCATAATACCCAACCTTAAGGTACTCAAACGTTGTGCTATCTGCAGGTACCACACCATTCTTACCCCCGGCTTCCACAACCATATTGCACAATGTCATTCTCTCTTCCATCTGACACCAACAAGTGTTAGTAGGGATGTAGGGCTATAAAATCAAAAGAGCGAAGTTATTAATGGGTCCACTTACATTTAAACTTTCAACAGTAGAACCAACAAATTCCATTGATTTATAGGTGGCACCAGACACTGATATTTCTCCAATAATCTGCAAGGAGAAAGACCATTAATCGAGAAATAAGCAGAAGCACATGATGCCTTGAGGCCCTACATAGTTCAAGTTTCAGTTTAGACCAATGAACTTACTTGTAAAATCAAATCTTTCGCCAACAAATACTCAGGCATTTCGCCCTCCATCACAAATCTCAATGTAGGAGGCACCTGAAATTCATGGTCAATGAAAGGCCAATGATTCACAACAAGATAAGAAACACCTAATAGATAAAATACAATAAGATAATTATGAATGAGCCAGCACATTATCTTTTGCTAGCACTTGACTTCTACACATGATTCTATGCCGACAAAATCACAAAAACATTTAAATCTTTGACACCGATTCAGGAAATATCACTCAACGAAACGTCAAATATTTACACGTATTTGTACTATCAATGCCTATACTTCTTTAACAGACACTTGTTCAATTCCCCTTTCCCTCTCTCTCTCTCTCTCTCTCTCTCTCTCTCTCTCTCTCTCTCTTGTGTCCCCAGTGCTTCAACCCCCTGCCCCTCCTTCCTTTCCTCCTTTCCCATGCAGATTGAAGGCAAATTAGAAGAGGAGAATTATATATATATTGCCCCCCTCCTTCTCCCTAGCACCTCAACCCTCCACTCCTCCTTCGTTTCTTCCTCTCCCAAAAAGAGGCAGATTGACGGTAAATTAGAAGAGAAGTTCAATTCTCAATGGCTACGCTACGCATAATGATGTGGCAGTAAATATTGGAAACACAAATAACGAGTCCACGTTAACCAATCAAAAGGTGGATGTGACCAACTTTCCCTACATTTGAATCTGTCAGTTTCATTCATCATAGGAAAAGCTCGAGCACACAAAAATGGGTTCATCTAGGGTAATTCAGAGCATAGGGCCACCTGAGAATGAGGAAGTGTTTGCCCATTAACTATCCCAAAGGAGCAAAGAAGCCCCTCAAAGACTATTAACCCAGCATGTTGTTTATAGATTAGGATTAGTTGCACAGCAAGTATTTGAAATCTAGAACTATTACTTTTCTTCTCAAAAGTGAGAAATGACAAATGTGTTAAAGTCTTTTAGCTGCTATTAAACCATAAAATGACAGAATATAACATCACGAGCAGCTAAGCCAATAAGAATAGTTCTTCATCGTCCTTGATATCTTACATCAAGATGGATTAAACCAAGCAAAATAAAAACCATCATTTGGTACCTAGCAGTCACTGAGGTAAAAACACAACAAATAAGACAGTATGAAGGAAACATAACCGAGGGAAAGCACAGTCAATACCCAATCATATAATAATGAAACTACCAAACATGATCTTAAAAAGTCAGTTTAATCCTAAGATGAGATTTACAAGACTCAAGTTTAATCTCAATCCAATGGCGAAGTATTCTAAATTTCAAGGACCTCAACCATCTATCCAATATCCATTTTTATGAAGGGATGGCAGACACCGAAATAAATATTGATATGATACATGCCTTGAGCAGGATCTTCCCAGTCCCCAACGCAAAGCCAGCATCAGTGTTGCCAATACCAGTGGCAAACTGGCCAAAAGCTCCAGCAGTACAGGTGTGAGAGTCAGTACCTAACAGAACCTAGAGCAGGATAAGGGTTTAAGATTCTGTCAGACATCACCTCGTACACTACCGAAAAATAGTTCAAGGAAAAAAATCCACCTCGCCAGGTCTGCAATGACCTTCTTGGGCTAGAGCAATGTGACACACACCCTTGTAGTCTGGATTAACCTGCAAATTGTTTGATATCCTTTGAATTTAAGATCAACAGAGGAATTGCAGACAAGGATCATAAGCTTTTCATATAGCAAAAAAATATATTAGGTAATGAAATAAAAAAATGACAACACAAGAATACCTTGAAGTCACTAAGGTCTTTGATATCATAGAAGTACTTGATATCCTGCTCTTTGCAAAAATCTCTCAAAATATCCACATTGCGATTAGCACGTTCATCACTTGTGAAAATGTAATGATCAGGAATGATGACAATCTTTTCGCGATCCCAGACCTTGAGTTCAAGGAAAATAAAACCACAAACATGAATACTCTCAATTGTCAATGATTCACATTAAGGGTGACAATATATTTAGTCAATGAAGTAAAGCATAATTTAAAATAGACAGTATGGACGCCATGAGCAATGCACTCCTCTACTCATTTGATGTCATTGTAATCGATCAAAAGGATAACTATTTAAAATAGCATAAACCCTGACAAAAAAGGGAGAATCCAGGTCTTTCTGGGCACATAGTGGAATGTTACATAGAAAGGGCTGTCAATAGATCCATAGCATAGCAAGAGACGCACACCAAGCACTTCTGTTCGAAGACACGAATGGTAAGACACAATATGAAAGCTGAGTAAAAACTAGATAACAGCAGACTCCAGTCATTCAAATTCTCAGAAGGAATTCCACTTATCAAACCACATCTTCCGCACATTATACTCGAAAGAGCTCGAAAATCGCGAAGGGAAGCTGTGGCAGCAGGGCTCGATACCTTAGCAGTCTCACCGAACTCCTTCTTGAAGATACCGAAAGAACCGGGGCCGCAAACATCGTGCGTCATCAGAACATCGACATCGACCCAGACATTCTCCCCGGGACTCAGCTCCGACTTCTCGGAAGCCCGAGCCAGTATCTTCTCGGTCATCGTCATCGCATTTTTCACCTAAAAAACAACCACCAAACCCCCCGCGCCGCTCAGAGAAATCCCCCCGGCAAACAAAAAAAGGAAACTCCTAATCGAGCTCAATCGGAAGTTTGGGACATCGAAATCGCGAAAGAACCGAACCGAGCCGGTGGCGGCGGGCTTGCGCTCCGTCTGCCGAGGCGCCATGACGGAGACGATCTTCTTCGCGGCCGGTTTCCGCGACCTCCCGGAGGAAAACGGCTGGGAAGCGAGGAATCCGGAGAGGCCATACTCTTTCTGCAAAGAAGAACAACACAACAAGGAACTGAGAAACCACACGGCGTCCATTGTCGAACGACGAGACGGAGGGGCCCCGGCACGAATCGAAGACAGCGCATCGCCGATCGAGCAGCACGGGGACTGACCTTGCCGGCGACGAAGGAGGACGCCGAGGAAGGCGGCGGAATCACGGTGGAGGACGCCATGGAGTGCGGCGGCCGGCGGCGGTTTCTCGGAGCTGATGCGTCGACCGTCCTCCGATGAGCGTTCCCCGCAGAAAGGACAGCGCCTTCTTTATAGCGACGGCGACGCGAGGGAGCGAAGAAGAAGAAATGGGAGCGGCGACACGTGGCGGATCGTGCGGCGTGCGATCGGGTGGGGCCCAGCTGGGCTTGAGTGGGAGGAAGAGAATGGCGATTTGTGCTCGTGCTCGACTCGAATCTTGCAACTTCTTCTTCTTCTTTATTTTTTTTATTTCTTTTAATTTTTTTTTGTGTCTGGAAGAATTGGGATGGGAACTGGCGAGTCCGCCATGGAAGACGAGAGAGAGCGAGATGGAGATTCCACGTGGGCGGCTTCGATTTGGTGGGCTAAAACCCTAGAAGGCCCAACGGCCCAATCGGCCCAAATAGCGCGATACATTTTTTTTTTTTTCCGTGAGCTTGGCGGTCCCGGTACTTCCCGTCGAGACCCGAGCCGCAAATTAGGCGGGTTCGATGGAGGGGCTCTTCTCTCTTGGCCCGAGCTCGCTCCTGCGCGAAACCCGATCATTTAATCGGTAGCCCTAGCTCTAAAGGAAGGTTTCTCTTCTCTCTTGGCATCGTACTTTACTATGAACGAAGAAGCTGATATGAAGGTAGAGATTGAAAGTGATTACTTATCAGTATGTGGGCTTATAATAAGCACTTATCCAAGCTCATGGCGCATCCCGAGCTGTTATAGAGGATTGCGAAAAGAGTTTGGCCCAGTTTAAAAGCACTTCGTTGGTCCACTATCCGCGAGAAGCTAATCATGTGGCGAATTGGATCGTCAAAACCTTTCGTAGAAATGCCCTCCCCTCTAATTGGATTACTAAACCCCTTAACCCCTTTGGGATTTTTTATGTTTCGATATTGAACATCCTTGTTTTGATTATGACACTTAATAAATGAAGTACTTTTCTGACAAAAAAAATCGGTAAATTTAATGGGCGAGACTGAGCAAGAACTTTTGCGCATATAATTTAGTCATTCATCTAATTAAGGAAAAAAAAAAGATGGAATGAGGGGTTTTTTTTCAAGTTATAGGAGGTAGAGCTGGGAGATTAGGGAATTATTGCCAGTGGACTGTGATTTTTTTTTACCTAATTACCATTTTTTTTATTGTTTTTATTGGCCTTTCACAGATTCCTCTACCATTATATAATGTATCTCAATGTAAAATATACTTTTTATTTTCATAGATTTATTTTTTATTTTAACGTTTTTATTGTATCAATTTAAATTTATGAAAATACGTAAGTAAGTTTTAACATATAAGTGGAGAGAAAGACAATGCAAATGCCATAACTTTTATACGACGCTTGCTTGAGTGATATAACTTTTTTTTAACCACTTGGGTGCTATAATTTTCATACAACGTTCACTTGAGTAATGTAACTTATTTTTTTTCAATTACTTAAGTGACATATAACATTTCGATCGATCACTTGAGTGCCATAACTTTTTAAAATTATTCACTACAAGTTTCTTGTTACGTCAGATTTTCAACATTTTGGTGAACAGGTTATAAAAGTCATCACACTTAGGTGATCGATGCACTCTTTAGAAGTCATGAAATGTAAGTGATCGAAAAAAAAAGTTATGGCATTCAAGTATGAGCAAGTGTCGTATAAAAGTTATGACATTTGTGGTGTTCTTATTCCCATATAAGAACATGATTCACATATATCCACCATTTTGTAATATTTTTTTTCACTTAGGCTTTGTTCGTTTTGCGAAAAATGTTACGTTTTTTGAAAATGTTTTCCAGAAAGCCATTTTCCTGGAAAATGACATAATTTTTCAGTGTTCGGCTGAAATCTGAAAAAGTCTCGGAAAATATTTTTCGTCGTTCGGTCTTGAATATATTTTTCTTCATGCACTATTTTTAATAATTTTTTATTTTAATATTTCTTTTCTTTTCTTTTTTTCTCTTTTATATTTCCCTTTCTTTCTTCCTTTGCCAGTCGTTGTGGCCAGCGACCGGCCATAGGCGAGGCTCGGCCTCACCAGATCTGGCAAGGCTTGGCCTCACCTCGCTAATCTCGAGCTTGGCCGAGCATCGCCGGATCTGGTGAGGCAAGGCGAGGCGAGGCCTCGCTCGCTACATCTGGTAAGGCTCGGCCTCGCCTTGTCGGTCTCGAGCTCCGCCGAGCATCACCGGATTTGGCGAGGCGAGGCTAGGCTCGGCCTCGCTCGAGCTTGCCGGCCGTGGGACGAGAGGACGCGCAAGGTAGTAGCGAAGGAGGACCAGACGAAGCGAAAAGCAGCAGCGGAGGAGGAGCGGCTCTAGAGATGAAAACCCTAGGTTGCGTGAAGGAGAGGAACGATGGGGAAAAGGAGAGAGAGGAGGAGAGGAACGATGGGGAAAAGGCGAGATTGGAAAAGGAGAGAGAGGAGGAGAGGGCGTGAGAAGAGGAAATCATTTTCCTCAGTTTTCAAAGGGTATTTTCCATTGATCGGAAAATATTTTCCTTGACCCCTCAATTTCCGCCCCCTGGACACCGGAAATTATGGAAAATATTTTTCCGGAAAACATTTTTAGTGAAACGAATGGAGCCTTAGGTTGCGTTTGTTTGAGGAAAAGAGTTTTCTCGGAATTAATTTTTCGAACTTTCACCCATTTGCTTCGCCAAAAATAATTAGTTAATCAAAATCACTTTCAGGTTAAGGAATATATTCGTGCATAAAATTAGGAAAGTGAATCTTTAAATCTAAGAAGTTGATAACACTTTCCGAAATTGTTCCTCATGAATATTTGAATATTTTATCTTTTATCTTTTCTTTTATCTTTCTTTTTCATTTTTTCTTTTCCTTCTTTTCTCCTTCGCCTGTCGCTGAGCCTCGATGACAGCCAGCCACAAGTGCAGGCCGGCAAGGGCCAGCCTCGGGTGAGGCTTGAGCTTGCGGACCTCGCCTGAGGCCGGCTAGGTCGGCCCTCATAAGTGGCTTGTTGCGGCCGTCACGGAGGCCCGGCAACCGGCGGAGGAGGAAGAAGGAAAGAAAAAAATTATTTAAAGATTCGATTTTTTTTTCCTGAGATAAAGTCATGAGATTGAAATCATTTTCTAAATGTGATTAAAACACCAGAAAAATATTTTCGGTCACGTATCACCAAACAAAGGAAAAGTAACTATTTTCGTGAAATTTGATTTCCCATTTTACCAGGAAGAGGTTGCCAAGAAAAGTTATTTCCCCCTTAACTAAGTTAGTCTTTCTTCTTCTCTTTAAGTTTCAATTTTACATGTAATTAAGAAAAAATTTATATATTAACTAATACATATATTTTAAATTTTACTGATACGTACATTTAATAGCTATAATTATACAAAGTCATACCTATTAAGACATATTAAGATCTCTTAAAATAATCTCGCAAAAAAAAAAAATAACACGTGCACATGTTTATAAAAATGGATTTAAGTTAATGCATTGAGAGAGATAAAAAAAATTAAAGATGTGAATTAATTTTGGGTTAATACCACGAAAAACCCTAAACTGGTACACTTGTGATAATTTTACCCAAAACTATTTTTTTGACCACAAAAAATCCAAAACTGGTACATTTATGATAAATTTACCCCGAACTATTTTTTTAATCACCAAAAACCCCAAATTGGTACACACATGACAATTTTACCTCGAACTAATTTTTTAATATTATTTTTTATTTTTCGAATTTTTTTATTAATTTTTTTTTACTTTTTTTTTCCTTTATCTTCAACCTCTGGCCAGTCGCCAATCCGGCGACCGGTCAGAGGCGGAAGCTGGCGAGGTCGGCCTCGCCGGCCGCTGGCAAGGTCGGCCCTGCCGGCCGCTGGTGAGGCTCGACCTCGCCGGCGTTGGGTGAGGTCGGCCTTGCCTTGCAATGGCGAGGTCGAGCCTCGCCAGATCTGGCGAGGGCCCGGCCCCGCTGGTCTCCGGCTTCCATCTCTGGCCGGTTTCCGGACCGGCGACCAGCCAAAGGTTGAAGATAAAGAAAAAAAAAGTAAAGAAAAAATAAAAAAAAATTAATAAAAAATTTTTAAAAATAAAAAATAATATTAAAAAATTAGTTCGGGGTAAAATTGTCACATGTGTACTAGTTTGGGGTTTTTGGTGGTCAAAAAAATAGTTCGGGGTAAATTTGTCACAGGTGTACCAGTTTAGGGTTTTTTATGATAAAAAAAATAGTTTTTGGTAAAATTGTCACAAGTGTACCAGTTTAGGGTTTTTCGTGGTATTAACCCATTAATTTTAGAAAAGAAACTTAAATGGTTGACAGCAAGGGAAATTTGAATTCAATCTTGGAATCTAAAATATTTACGGGATAAGTTGACATGGTATAATATATCAACAACAAGCATGGGCTTCTCAAAGAATTTTCTATGACAGTTTGTTGAAATAGAATGTGCTATTTCTTCTCGGAGTATTATTTATTTAAATTTTTTGTAGTTAAACTGTTTTTACATGAATGATCAAACATTTAATATTTCGGTGAGAGTACTATATTTTAATTTTTGGATACGTTATTTTAATGAAATATTAAAAAATGACTATGGTCAGGCCTTCAAATAGTTGAGAAAATGGGACCCATGAGACCTCCATTCTACCAAATGTATGTCACTCATCATTGCATCGAAGCGTTGAGTAAATTTGCATTAACTTAGAGATTAAGAGGTTTTACATAAACCAATGAATTAGTTGCACTTCCATTCACGTTGGTGTAAGAAGACAAATGGTCCATTATCCAATCTTTTACTCAAAACCATTAAAAATAGAAGATGGGGTGAACTAGGTAGGAGAAAAAGTGACGCGTATAATAGAGGGTTTTGATGGGCTTCTCAATTAACCTATGGAAAAAAATTATACAAATGGCCTCTGAATTTTGGCTTGATATATGATATCATCTCTGAACTTTAAATTTGTTCAATGCAATCCCTAAATTTTAGCCCAAAGTGCAATGTTGTCCCTAAACTTTTGGTACATATTTAATTTAGGCCCTAAACTATATGAAAATATTCATTGTTATCCCTGAACTTGAATTTATGAAAGGATAACATTGGATATTCTCATATAGTTTA